ATGGCGGCCAGTATTAATGGTGGAAGAAGAACCCGGGAAATCACTGGAAAGAACCACCGACCCACGAGAAGCTACTGGCAAGCTTTCTCACATATCCACATTCGCCGAATCCTAGACTCGAACCGACGCAGACAGAGGTGAGATGACAGTGATCATTAACGGACAGCGCTTTAGACCACTAGGCCATTTGGGGCCCCTACATTGAAAGTATTGTTGAGGATATTGTATGAGGAATCGCCAGTTTTAAAACTTTTTTAAAGCGTCGTAGATACACGTCAAAGCGTCGTAGATATACCTCAAAGCGTCGTATTCAGCTGATAGATATTGCTTGAACAAAGTCATTGTGTTCGCACGCAATTTTGGTGTGGGGTGCGTATTTAAATTAAGAAACCTGTTCTCAGATAAATCTACAAGCTGTTAATTAATGAATAATTTACCTATATAATTTATGTCATTCATATTATACATCGTATACATCAAATGAAATGGTATAAAGTTTAAACCATGAACGCGTAGGCCATGTGCACACGTTATGTGACATGTCTGTATTATGGAGTCGCCTTGGCTAGGTGGTTAGAATACCAGATTCACAATCGAAATGATATAGGTTCGAATGCTATCATTGGATCAGCCCATTTTTGTTACCGTAGTTTGCCTTTTCTCCAGCTGCCTATGCAATATATACCCTACCTTTGTTGTAAATCAAACACTGGCTGTATTTGAAATATATTCACAAACAAATATTTAATGTGCAAATTTATTTCTATATATAATTCATTAGTTATCAAAACTCAAAATTCGTAATGATTCTTAACCGAAAAAGTTGACAATTTCCTATTTTATTTTAAATTTAAGAATATAAAGGGGGTGGGGAGAATAGTTTGGAAGTGTACTACAGCAATAGTCCTCTCCCGTATCCAATAAACGGAAGATAATTAGCTCGTACTTTCTGACGCCATGTTGCCTGACTGAAGAGAATATGACTATCAGCTATGATTTTTTTAGTCTGAAAAAACCCAATACTTTGAAAGAAATTAATGTCATAATTTTCCACTTCCATTGTATGTGTCTTTCTAAAACGTAAAGTATTTGTTCAAGGGGAAAATCTGTACATGGGAAAATTCCACTCGTTCGCGTTCTGTTTGCAAGTTGCTCATATTTCCAGTCTTGAATATATTGCACTGTTCTGTAAATTATTCCGTGTTCGTGACTTCGATTCTGGGAAAATATTTTAAAAACATCGTTAAAATATCAAATGTAATTGATTACATGAAATAAATAACATCCATATGCAAAGGACCACCTTCAATACGCAGTTCCTGGAAATAAATAACGAGTTAAGGACACTCTTGTCTGGGAGTTAGTCGGTAATTGAAAATAAAATAAAAGTCATTTATGGCCTTCTTCTTCTTCGAGTGTCTGAGTTTTGATTGTAAACATCCGTTTCCTGTTCCTCTTTATTTCTTTTCAATTTTACTTTGTATTTTTTTTACTGATTCGCTGTTTTGTAGTTTATATCGAAATGACAGATGTGATAATGGTACAAATGCCATTGACAATTACGACGAAGACCGAAGACGATGATGGCGGTGGTGGCGATGACAATGATGATGGTGGTGATGAAGAAAATTATGGCAAAGAAATGAGACTAACGAATTATACATGAATGAATATATATATATATATATATATATATATATATATATATATATATATATATATATATATATATATATATATATATATATATATATATATATATATTGCTGTGTTTACTGGCATGATATTGCTATGAAGCATTCTACTGTGGAATCTATGTCATGCACATTTGTAATTATATATATATATATATATATATATATATATATATATATATATATATATATATATATATATATATATATATATATACTTTTGCATACGGGATTATACGATTTCTAAGATGACATGATGTTTGCATATAAAATGTAATCGATCTACAATAATATAAATACATTGTCTCTGAATATGTATGTATACATTACGAAAGTGGACAATAGTACAATGGTTACATCTACTCAACCGCAGCCAGTATGATATAATGATATGTTAAACAGAAAATCCCTATTAGATATTAGATAATTAATTATCGACACATTGCATTAAGTATTTGAAGAATTTAGAACAGTGGACAAATTCTATTGGATGACAAAGCTACTTAGTTGTTTGTTTTTTTTTCAAGAAGTTTATAGAAATTAAAATAAGTATTTGACTTTTGCTGGTTCGAACCTCATCCGCGTCATGCCAAAGACTTATAAAACTCGTGCAGCAGCTGCCTCGCTTGGCGTTCAACATTAAGAGGTTAGTGATATCATAAAATTAAAGAAATCTGCTAACCAAGAAGCTTTTTCGCTACCAAGCGTCAGGTTTTAAAAAAGTGCCACTCCAGTGGCCAAATAGTTAGAGCTATCGCCTCGGATGCGGGAGGTCGCGGGTTCGAACCCCGGCCCAGTGATACCAAAGACTTATAAAAATGGTACTAGTAGCTGCCTCGCTTGGCGCTCAGCATTAAGAGGTTAGTGTTATGACTGGTCGGCCTTGTGTCGGGATAATGTGACTGGGTGGTTCATGATGCAACATGTCTGCAGCATGATGTATCATGGGAGATATCACTATAAACTGATAAACTGCAGATATCGTAGCGATATGACTGAAAATTGTTTAAAGCTAAGTTACAAATCCAAATTTCTCTCTCTCTCTCTCTTTCACACACACACACGCACACACACACACACACACACACACACACACACATTAGCTAAAATTAATAAAAGCTAGAATCATTCAACACATTTTCAATATAAAGAGACATATTTAGGATGGGTAAAAATGAGTGACAGAGAAAGAGGGTGTTAGGGATGACGACGACAATTAAAGTGATGACGATAATGATCAGGCATAAAAATCACACGCATTCCTGGTGGACCGGAAATAGGTCTTCTTACCTTCAAACTCTCCCCTTCTTTCGGCTTGCCCCATTTCCGTTTTTTTAGTTTTGGGACTTGAAGTGTTGCCATTTTTGCTTCAAGACAATATGCGAGTTACCTCAAATTGTAATCCAAAGAAACAGAATATATGTATTCGGCGTCAGGTCACTTAGCGTATATTTACAAAGTAATTCGCATCGTATTTATCCTTGCCAGAATCGGCTCCGAAAGGGAAAAATATGTAAACCTTGACATTTCAGTACAGTTTTCATCCCAAAAGAACGTATAATTTTAGTCACATTGAAAACTGAAAATTGTTCAATTGTTCATGAAAATCAACAAAAGGTACACCGGTAATTTTCTTCTCAAATCAATGAAAATTGGTAAGTCCTGTTTTTAAGAGAAAATGTACATGTGGCAAAATTTTTGTTCATGTTTTCTTCATCATCTAAATTTTATTCCTTCTCTCACTATCTCCACTGTATCCTCAAAAAATGAAATAGAATTCCTTCACCTGATGCGAGTTCTCCATGATTCATTTAAAGCTTTCTTCTAGCGGCGATCTCATAACTGCAGCAGAAGATTGATCCGTACTAATCAAACCGTGGTGAGGCCACTATTTATTGCTATACTTCTAAACTATCTGACTTCTCGATTCTTCTCTTAACTGAACAGAAGGATTTTTTTTTTGTTTTTTTTTTTTAACTACCTTCTCATCTCATATCCGGTTAATGTCATTATATAACAGTCGTAGTAACGTTTGATTAGCATTAATCAATTAATTCCAACACTAACCGTCAGCGGTGTTGTTCGCGCTGGGAATATAGCAGTAACTGATTTTGCACTGAATTTGGACGACACGTTATTTGGAAATTCAATAAAAGCACCCAGGAGTCAGCGAAGTTCATATTCTACTCAGTGCAACCAAACGCTCCTTGTTTACTTACTGAAAAGCTTTACTAAGCTTGAATTCCAATAGGACTCGCTTGATTGGAGTAAAACGCCATGTGCCTTCCGTCCATTATCCAAACATTTCTCCGAGAAGACAGCATGCCGCATGCGTTCTTCTTACGAGCATGCAAAATGTTCTCATTAAAAGGTATATCTGTTTCGTGAATCGTACACACTGGTCGGTTCTTAAAATAATCATATCAGATTTGTTATCGAAATTCAGACAAATGAAAAAGCTGTTCTAATCACGTCAAGGTGTTTTTCTTTTCATTTTTTTTTTCAGAAGCAGGCAACTTCAAAACGAACTTCTTTCACAAAGAAAACTTCCGCTAAAGCTTCGGCCTGATGTAAAATATTGCGATGAACGTTTAACGACGTTTTCATCTCGACTCCTGGAATTGTATACTGTCTTGTCTATCAACATTTACTGTAAAATTTATATACATAAAGCACAATATCTTCGCAAAGACACTGATATCCAGGTCAGCCGAAACAGCTTACATCTATTGTGCAAATCCCTTTCCAGCAAATATTGCCTGCCTTTTCCTTAGAAGATAGATGCTTCCTATAGCATGTAGTTATTTCAAGTTATTTTGTTCTTTTCCTTTCGTTCAGCTTATTTTTGATAGTTTTTTTTCCACTCTGTGCCTAAAATATAAATATTTAAATTTTGTGTGTGTGTTCGTTTCTGTGTATGTGTTCTCTGAAAACTACCTTGCTTTTGGAATTTTTCCTGCGGCTGTTCCAGTTCATCATAAATTCTATAAATGTATAAACTTTGCACATTTTTCTAATTTATCTGTACGAATTATACAACAAAATTACTATGTATGTATGTATGTGTTTATGTGTTTATGATTTTAACGTAGCTTTTAATAATTTTTCAGTCACATCACTACGATGTCTGCAGTGTAGCAGTTTATAGTGATGTCTAGCACTGGGGCATCATGCCGCAGACATATAGCATGATGTCCCATCCAGTCACATTATCCTGACACCAGGCCGACCAGTCCTAACACTAACCTCTTAATGCTGAGCGTCAAGCGAGGCAGCTGTTAGTACCATTTTTGTAAGTCTTTGGTATGACTCGACCGGGGATCGAACCCACGACCTCCCGCATCCGAGGCGGACGCTCTAACCACTAGGCCACCGGAGCGGTTGTATGTATGTATGTATGTATGTATGTATGTATGTATGTATGTATGTATGTATGTATGTATGTATGTATGTATGTATGTATGTATGTAGGTGTGTGTATGCATGTGTATATACATTTATGTATGTAGGTAAGGGAACCCCTAATGGGGACCATGGTGTGAGAAGCGCCCAGGAAGGTCCAGCATATGTAACGACCTTAATGTAAAGAAAATTTACTGTATGAAATGCTCTTTGTAGTTTTTAACATTGGCGTCACTAGGATTGGTGTCATCCAGTGTGGTAACTCATGGTGTCACCTTCTTGGACCTCCTTCCTGCACAAAAAAAAAAAATCAAAAGATTTTATAGAAAGCCATTTGATGTTGTCACCCGGTGCGGTCGGCTCTCCTCTCCCGAGTGACGCCACTGGTTTTTTTTAAAAAAAATCTTTACAGTTAATTTTGATTTTAATTTTATATAGTTGTTTATGTTCACATATATCCATATATGTTTGTAGTTATGTGTATGCATATGTATTGTGTTGCTGGAGATATATGTCTGTATTTATGCATATTTATATTACATTTTTGAGCCTTATTATTCATATACTATTTTTTATCTATTGATTATTGATCAATAAAAAAAAGTTCCTGTTGTTTAGAAAAATTGGGAGTGGCGTCGTCAGCTCTGCCCCTGGGTCACCTTCAAGGAATAGTTAAGATATACGAAGTCATTAAACGGTTGATCATTGAGATCCCGAAGCAATAAATCCCACGAATTCTTTCATCAAACGACAATCCTACAACTGCCTTTCGTTCATTGAAATGCAGATATGAATTAACAGATAAAATAAACACGGCCGAAGAAAGTGATACCCTTCATTCATTTTGTCTAAAAATCCAGAATGACGTCAAGGAAATGTAATCCTATAATTGCGCGATAAGTCAATTTGCGCGCAGTATATACCAACCAATTAGAATTGATGAAGTTTCCATTAGACCAGTCGCCGACTGGTTAAGAGAAGATATTGCTTTTCAAGTTCTGATTGTTGATATTCAATCGATGTGCCTCTAATACTACAATGCAAAACTAAAATGCAGATAATAGAGTCTAGTTATTAGGGTCTAGACTGCATATACCTTGGTGCAGCTTATACGGTAATGAATTCCCGAACAATAAATCCTTAGATGCGTCTATTTCAATACCGAGGGATTCTCCGTTTGACTAACTCGTTTATTACGTCACAGTCATATACCCCCCCCCCTAAAAAACAAACAAACAAACAAAAAAAACCAACAAAAACAAAACCCTAAAACGTTAAAAACATTAGAAGTTTTTGTTATCAAATACGGGAATAACAAGAGCAGTGCTCGTGTACTTGGATGCAATAATTTCAAAATGATTTAAAGTCTGAACAGCTTCCTTCGCTGTGTTATTAAACTATTCCAAGCTAAAGAATTTAATTTTAAAAGATTTTGTTAATCATCAGCATCACATTTTTCATCGTTATCGTTATTACACTAGCTGTTTTTGTTCTCCTTGTTCTTTCTTCTTCTTCTTCTTCTTCTTCTTCTTCTTCTTCTTCTTCTTCTTATTATTATTATTATTATTATTATTATTATTATTATTATTATTATTATTATTATTATTTTAAAAGACGTAAATCTGTATATATCTGGGATAATGAGCTATATCAACTTTCAAAAATTCAAATAGACCAGTGTTTATTTGCATTCAGTCCGCTCGTGAAAGAAGACCACGCTGTATTGTTTTTTTTACTTGTGGTCTGTACGCATCAAATTAAATTATTTGTACTAAATTCTAAGTTGGAAGTATATACCAAGAAATCGGAAACCTTCTTAATAGGTAGCCTTTGAGAACGAAGATAAAGTGGGTTTTTATAAACAAAACAAAACAAACCAAGTGGCTCTTAGGTAAATGTTTTCTTGAATAAGAAACGGAAATATTATTAGTAGAAGACACCAGAGTGTGGACTTTATTAGAGACATGCATTTTTGGGTGTATTTATTTCTTTATGTGAAAGGGAACCTCCCCCCCCTCTCTCTCTCTCTTTCTCTCTCTCTCTCTCTCTCTCTCTCTCTCTCTCTCTCTCTCTCTCTCTCTCTCTCTCTCTCTCTCTCTCTCTCTCTCAGATTTATACAAGACAAGTTTACCCTCAATGAGAAATGGTATACCCAGCACCCAAAACAAAAACAATGTGTTTGACGCTACTTGACACTTTAACAGAAGGTTGCTTTATAAACAATGTTTTCTTGAATAAGAAACGGAAATATTATTAGTAGAAGACACCAGAGTGTGGAATTTATTAGAGACATGTATTTTTGGGTGTATTTATTTCTTTATGTAAAAGGGAACTCTCTCTCTCTCTCTCTCTCTCTCTCTCTCTCTCTCTCTCTCTCTCTCTCTCTCTCTCTCTCTCTCTCTCTCTCTCTCTCTCTCTCTCTCTCTCTCTCTCTCTCTCTCTTCACACCGGGAAAACGGTGTATCCGGTACGAACAATGTTAAGAAAAGACAACAGCGTAGTCGACATAATGGATGTTGTTTTTATTAAGGATGTAATTTCCCCATTCTATATTCTATGCATACGTAATTAAGGTGTGGGTCTGACCGACAGGATTGTGCAAAACAGTAGTTTTAAAACAAAAGAGGAAAATGTGCTAAATATATTTCATCTCATTTGCCTCTAGCTATCATTCTCAAGTAGGACATTTATTGGTAAAAAGCAAATTTTGACTGTAATGACCTACTTATCTTTCAAAACTAGTTTTGCTTAGTTTTCGGATTATGTATTGGCGAATCATGCCAGACAGCATTTTACTGAATTTCCTGTTGGTTATTTCTTAGCGCTGACTTTCGAATATATAAAAGAAGAGAAGAATATTTAATTTGGATCCATTTCGTTTATAGGAAGCAGACTAACTCTGTTGTATACAATTTCGTTCGCGTTCTCTATTGGTACTTTTCTAAAGTACTAATGCCATTCTTGTCCATTGTTGGCTCTAGAAGTCTCTGGCACATGCTCAATTAGGTCGTTCTACAGCACAGACATTTGGATGACTACGGGCTCGTCTGTATTAGCTTGAAATCTCACCTGATTGGAACAATTGGTCGAAGCAGTTGGGAAAAAAATCAATGCAGCTTGAAAATAAAGATGAGATAAATAAATAGTTGCTACTATAGTGATTCTGGTACGCTCCGAGGTTTTTCTTTTAAAAAAAAAAACAACATCGATAGCTAAATTTAAGGTAAAAGCTTACCATTGGCAGAGACATAAAAAGACTGCCAAAAAATCTGGAGTATTTTGAATTTTTTTTACGTAGGATTATGAGATCTGCTAATGGTTTCAACGAAGATCATTGCATCGTTTATTTCTTCTATTTGCTTGTGAATTAAATAACATGACTTAAAATATTCGAGTGTAAGCAACAAATATTTCTTGGTATTACTAATTGATGTGTTTCCAAGAAGACGCTTGAAGAAAAAAATTGCACGATTCTATGAAAGGTTCCCAATGCAGCCCTTTGGATGTTAAATATGCTCTATGCACCGTCCTGAACATCAAGAGAGAGGAAAATTATGGAGAAAACGAGCTGCGGTGGCATAGTACTAATCGTAATCGAAAGGGTGTGGGCTCATCCTAAATCCTAAACTCAGATCAGTCCTGGTCAGTTACCGGGGTGCGTCCTTGAGCTAAACACTCTACTCCAATTGCTACGGTACTAAATAAACTGCCGGAGTCATTTTGCCGTAAAATAGCAAGTAAAACCAAAACTGTCTGCCTGTGGTACTTCTATACAAATTCTCGAAAGAGAGATGTACCATCTGTTTTCGATTTATGAAAATATGTATTTAGTAGCAACCTTGCGCACACCAACACGTCTTTTATTAAAAACTAAAACTTCATCTCGGTCCCACAAGCTCCAAAACATACACCCATCCACCCCATTTCAGTTGAATCGATCATATTCATGTAATTATAACGGATGTTTGAAAAATGTATAGTACGTGACATAGTCTAAAGTGCAGATATTTGCTTCGATTTATAGGAGGAAATGGGTTATTCAGTGACGTAAAAGCGGCTGCGTGACATCCACACACTGAGTTGAGCAAGGTCCCAAAACAAACATTTCCCCCTTTAATGCGGAAAGTTATAACTATACCGAGGAACAAAAGAGATTAGCAAGGTGGTAACTTATAGCAATTAATACAATATTATCTGGGCAAGATACCATTTTCCAAAGAAAAATTTATAGAATAGTTCTTGTTGACAATTATCTGTTTCGTGTCAAATGACTGCCGTATTGGCCGCTCCCATTAATGCTGATTCCTGCATTTGAACTGCGAGGCTAAATTTCATTTCGTTTGAAGATCAATGAAGTAGAAGAATACATTAAGTGCTTTAAGTGCTGATGTTCTTTTCATGTTGCCATTCCCACATTCGCAATCTATATTTGTAGGTAAAAAAAAATCCCCTGTAAGAAATAAAGAACTGTTTCATACTTTAAGTCGAATAAACGCTCGATTTTTTTTAGACATCTGCAATACATTGATCATCCCAAATTTGGTACGGATCATGGGCGTAGCCCCGTACCGCCTCCGGCGGCCTTGAATTTGACTGAAGAAAATAAATGCAAATGTCACAATAACGGTTCACCGTGTAATATTAGATTTGTTTAAATTCCTTCAAAAGAAAATTGCTATGTTCATTTGGTGTTCAACGACAAAAAAGTAAAAAATGAAATTTTTGATATTTCAAGGGCAATTTGAAGACAATGCGATGACCAAAAACACATCACAGCTGCCGTACCTCCGCAGGATAAACCGAACGTGAAGTTCAACAATTTATTGTTATCTTGTGTTTGTCATTGTTGTCATCATATTAATCATATTCGTTTTCGTTATCTTTATCATCATCATCGCCCAATATTTAAATCAGATGAAATTACAATTTTCTTAAAAGTGTAAAAGCAAATTAGCGATTATCATAGAATACTTCTTT